CTGGATATTTTCTCTTTTTCGGACCATTCTCTGTAAACTCTAGAGATGGCTGTGCGTGAAAATCCCAGTAGATCAGCAGATTCTGAAATACTCAGACCAGCCCGTCTGGCACCAACAACCATGCCACGTTCAAAGTCACTTAAATCACCTTTCTTCCCCATTCTGATGCTCAGTTTGAACTGCAGCAGATCGTCTTGACCATATCTACATGCCTAAATGCATTGAGTTGCTGCCATGTGATTGGCTGATTAGAAATTTGCGTTAACGAGCAGTTGGACAGGTGTAACTAATAAAGTGGCCGGTGAGTGTATGTCAAACATGTTCCTTAACACATATGCGCAATTGCAGAGTAGCCCTCGTATTCAGTCTTCTAAATTACTAATGATTGGTTACGGTGTTGTTCTCGAAAAAAAAACTACATAATTCCCATTTCAACTTAGACACTGTCTGATCACTGATTGAATCTACAGGGTTGTACAAAGAGAAGAAAAAACATGGCTTTAAAACAGTAAAAAATATACTCTGTTGGTGATAATAAAATATCAGAGGGACTCAAACTGACCAATGATAATCTATCATCTCGTTTTCCCTCTTTATTATACTGTTTCTTAGACAATACAAAATGGTATTTGCATTTGGAACAAGTTTGAAAATTGTCAGCATCGCCCTGCAGTTGATCCGGTGGGGATGTAACATTCATCACACAGTAAAAGACAAAATTAGGGGGAAAAAATGCTATTCCCACGTCTTACTTTGTTGGTACTGCAAGATGAAAAAGCCATTTTGTCACCTTCCAGGTTTCGCCGGCACAATGGCCATCTTAGTACAGCTCAGACTCAGCTTGCCAGCCTCGGCTCATCTTTCAACAGTCCAGTGCTGAAACAACCAGCAGTCTTCAGCTGCACATTCTCAGGCTCTGCTGACCTTTCTCAGTCCTCCAATAAATACTACCTTTGCCATTGTTATAATATTCATTCTTCCCCGATGGCCGCTGAAGTGTTGATATAATTATATGTCTTCCTGTGTCTGTCGACTGTTCTGTAAATCACACATGCCTTTTACGCTCAAATCAATACAGTTGAACCCACCGTGAGCCATTAAAGCTTCCATCGTCCTGCTCAAACAGGAAATACCTTCTGCCATTACACATTCATTCCTATTAATTCAGTGTATATCTACGGGTATACGGTGGTCAATGTAGCCTTAATGCTACAGAGAATCCTGGTCTGCTCTGGTAAATTTATATCCCCAGGATGACCCATGATAACTCAAGCAAATCTAGCTAAATCATGATGGCTGATCAAATCTTATCCAGTTGACCTGACTTCATGTCAGATATGTCTGCACATAGACCCTTTACAAATGAAACTTGATGGGGACATGCTGCTTTCTCATGTCTACTTTAACTCTTAGTTTAGCTATGCTGTTGTATTAGGGAGCTGTGTATGTACAATATTTACATCTGGAAAGGTTTCTGCATTTGAAAACAGCATCATTACTGCTTGTCCAGATACAATTGAAACCAAAAGTTTACATATACTGTATAAAAAGGCAAATAATCCTCACTGTCATTTAGGATTACCAAAATTATTTCTATTTGTTAAATGCCAGAATGTTGAGAGAGAGATTTTTTAGAACTTTTTTTTTTTTTTTTTTTTTTACTTTCTTCAAAGTCAGAAGTTTACATACATTTCTTTAGTAATTGGTAGCATTGTCTTTAAACTGTATGACTTGGGTCAAATGTTTGGGGTATCCTTAAGCAAGCTTCTCACAATAGTTTGCTGGAATTGCGGCCCATTCCTCCTGACAGAACTGGTGTAACTGAGTCAGGTTTGTTAACCACCTTGCTCACACACGGCTTTTCAGGTCTGCCCACAAATTTTCGACAGGATTGAGATCAGGGCTTTGTGATGACCACTCCAAAACATTGACTTTGATGTCCTGAAGCCACTTTGCAACTAATTTGGCGGTACGCTTAGGGTCATTGTGCATCTGGAAGACCCATTTGTGTCCTGGCTGATGTCATGAGACATTGCTTTAATATTTCCACATAATGTTCTTTCCACATGATGCCATCTATTTTGTGAAGTGCAACAGTCCCTGCAGCAAAACACCCTCACAACATGATGCTGCTACCGCTGTACACAGTTGGGAAGGTGTTCTCAGGGCAGGCTTGCAAGTTTCCCCCTTTTTCCTCCCAACATAACAATGGTCACTAT